TTTTGCTTTTAGGACCCTGTGATGACACTACACTCACCCAGAAAAATCCAAGATAATCTCCCCATCTCAAAATCCTTACTTTAGTAAGTTTTGCCATGGAATTATGTTTTTGCCATGTAATACCTTACGTGGCAAAATTATTCACAGGTCATATTCACAGGTCATGGCAACATATTCACAGGTCCTTGGGATTAGGACCTGGCCATCATTAGGGAACCATTATCCTGACTGCTAGGTAAGTATAAAAACTAGACCAATCCACCCTTTGTCATATAGACTCTGTAGGTTCCAAATATAGGAGGTTCTTACTTGGGAGGTTTTTATAGAGCTGTGGGTTCTTCAATAATAGTGATTTTATTTTAGCATATTTAATTGATTTATCTCCTCAAAAATCTCAGGTATACGAAAAAAAATAGAATTAGTTAATTTGATATCATTGTTATTGCAGAAATGGTAACACTTCCAAGTATGCATTCATCATCCAGTAATTGTTGTTAAACCACTCTGAATTACTGTGTGGCTTATAAATTATTCTACAGCACTGGCAGACAGAAGTGCCACAGTTGTAAAGTCTTTAAGCCCTTTCATTTTTGGCAGGGTGGCTTTGCTCTAGCTTTTCTCATTCATCATTAGAAATCATAACTCTTCATAGACTATTTAACCTTGTATCTGAATCTTCCCAAGAGACCATGTTTACACAAGTGCCTCTGGGCCTCTGCTTCTAGGTCACTGTGGCACCCTGTTGACTCTTAGTAATCCTGCAGACAGTTTGTCTGGCTTGAGATTATTCATTGTGATTTAATTTACATTAAGCTGGCCTCCAGGAAAATGCAGCAATTAGAGGAATCTTGCTAAACTACTTGACTTTTCACAGAATACCTGCCTGCAGAGTCGTGCATTGCAAAGCATATGGAAAAATCATTTAGTCCTCCCCTAAGGACTTTGCCTTGCTTTTTAAATTCCTTGGGGAGGAAGGGCTATGGCATTGGCACTGGCATGGGAGACCTGTGAGGGTGTGAGTGAAGCATGCACACAAGGAGTAAAAATGTAATCTCAAAGTTACATAATTATGTAAACAACCAACAAACTAGTTTTTCAAAAATCCACCCTGTTCTTTGAGGGAGACCTAGAATCTCACACTCTGAAATGTTTTTGTCAAATTCCCATTCTACTGATCAGTAACACTTGGTTAGGTTCATGTACTAACAATTCTGGTTACCCAAATTCCAAGTGGGGTGTGGGGAAGAGTTACCCCACATCACCAGGCAATCTACTAACAACAGTCTGGTGTCCTATCATTCAACGCTGTCTGCCCAGAGATAGCATCCGGTCCCACTGCTTAACAGCCAGTCCTACAAGACTGCACACACCAACCCCCATACCAGATGCCAATCACAAGTTCAAGTTGTGATTTGTGCTTCTGATCAATTGGCTATAGATGGGAGGTTCTAATGGCACCCTCCTTGGGTTCCATTAATTTACAAGAGCAGCTCACAGAACTCAGAGAAACATTTTACTTATGAGACTGCTAGTTTATTATAAAAGAATATACGTCAGGCACAGATAGAAGAGATGCATGGGACAAAGTATGGGGAAATGGCAGAGCTCCAATGCCCTTTTTAGACTCACACCTCTTTCCCCAAATCTTTAAGTATTTGCTAACCCAAAAGCTCTTCTAACCTGAGTCCCTTAGGTTTTTATGAAAGATTTATTTATTTAGGCATAGTTGATCAAATCATTGACCATTGGTGACTGGGTTCAATTTCCAGGCCCTTTTCCCTCCTGGGGGTCATCCCAAAAATCATCTTATTAACATAACAAAAGACCCTTTATCAATTTCTTCAATAAGGAAATTTCAAGAATTTTAGGAGTTTTGTGCCAGAACCAGGGATAAAGACCAAATATGTATTTATCATAAATCACAGTATCACAAGTGCCCAAAGAGAGTGCACTCACATTTCAAGTTTGTGCCCCTCTCCCTGCCCTGTAACAGAGCAATAGGGTAGATATTGACAGGTGGTTCCCCTGACAATGCTAAGGTCAAGTTCAAGACAGCAAGTCCAAAGCAGTTCATTCACCAATGGGGCTAGGCCAATCTTGGAAGATAACACGGTCTGCCAAAAATCAGGAGATTAAGGACACGGGTAACTAGAAGTGAGGACAAGCTGTGACAATTGCTTCCAACTGTCAATGGATAATTGGAGTTGAAGAATGAACTCTGGAAACAAAGTGCAAATACTTGTGGCATATTTAATTTTCACTGATAATAAGCTTGTGAAGTTAAGCTGCTTTCATTTAAAGAGGTTCAAATGTACACCATAGTATTGCTTATTCTAGGAAAACCAAACAAATGAAAAGGGCTGGTTAGATAAATTATAATCTTTGTGATGGGCCATTTTGCTCTAGGTAGAAGAATAAAGCAGTTTTGTGTGTGCTGACATGGAAAGACTCCAAGGCATATTATTAAGTTGGGTGAGGGGAGCAAGGAAACAGGCATATACATGCAGAGAGATGCATTTTATTTTCCTTGAAGGATCTACAAGAAAATGGTAATGGTTGGTACTTCAGGAAGTGATGCTGAATGAGGGGAAAGAGACCTATTTTGTGCTTACTTTATAGCTTTCTGAACTTTTGAACTTTCTAACCATATACTATCTACAGTCCTTTTGTTGCTGTTTTTAAATATCAGCAATGGTGATCCTAGTATTATCATAGTGGATCTTTTTTTCTTTTTCTCTTTGTACTTCTTAGTGATTCTTTTAACCCAATAAATAATATGTTTTAAGCAGATATATAAAGGAGCACAGTAAGGCACACAGCTCTAAACAAAATAATTCTCTTCCTTTTCTCCACTTTTTCTCTCCTTTGGTGCATATTTTCTAAATTGCATTATTTTCCCACAGTTGCCAAATGCAGTTTCAGAACTTGAATCCAGGGCTATATTTTATATCAACTCCAAGTGTTTATGTTCTAGTCTAACCTGTCTTACAAATTGCTACTTGTTCTTCTCACTCACCCAGGGAAATTTGTTGATGGAAGAAAGTATTTACACTCATAAAATGAATTTACTTTATACTTTATTTATTTTATATTGTCTTTTCTTCACAACCAGATAATAATCTGTGAGCAGAGATTATCTTTTTTTTTTTCTTTAAGGAGTAAATTGCTCCTCATCTGGAAGCTTGCAGAATAAACACTCACATTTACACTGCAAAAAAAAAAAAAAAAGTTGTATGCACATAAACATGGGCAGTAAGTGTGCTAAGGTGCCAATTATATAATGACACATCGTTTTCATCTCTGAAGGGCTGCCTGGAGCTCTGTTGAGGATAGGATCAATTAGCAATGTCTGCTGTGGGACAGCCCTGGCTTATATCTGTTGTCATCCTATAATTTAGCACCCCTTTCACTCTCACGAATGTCCTGGGATAGAAAACAACTGAAAATATCACTCTGGCAGTATGCACGTGATATATTTGTCATACTATGCTAATCGTGTTACTTCTATAAATCTACAAATTCAAGGAATAGAGTCAACTTCCAGGGAGCAGGGTCCATGCAGTAGGGAGGAGACATCTGGCCCCCAGCCATGCAGCAGAGATGAGAGCAAAGTCTGGGCATGTGGACTACAGAAGAGCAGACCAGGTGGACACCCAGCCGATTCATCACAGATTGCAAGGAATCTGGGACAAAAAGCAGTTAGGATGAGTGACCTTCCTTGAAGATGAGCTTAGGAATCATTTCGAAAGTGATCGGGATCTGACCCTATAGATTCCAATCTTTGGTGATTTTAGCTGGAAAGGTCTAGAATGATAGATTGCACAACTGAAGCATTTGTTTTCTAGGGCTTGGGGAGCTGTAGAGATTCATAACATCGAAGTTGCTAGAATACCAGCAGATAAGTATGACTCAGTCATTAAGGTGAACTAGATAGCAAGAGTTCACTGGTCATTAGCAATCAAGTATTACATAAAAAGAACAAAGAAGCAATATTTCTCTTTTACTGTCTTCTGCAAATCATGGGTGAAGAGGTCAGTGACTGTTTGCAAGGCTGGTCAGCACTGAATGTAAAAACTGTCTAATGAATTTCCCTTAGAGTTGATATACAGAGTAACAGAGTATTAGGGAACTTAGTATCTGGGAGACAGACCTAGATTTGAGTCTCATATGTGCCACTTACTAGCATCTGATGCTTGACAAATAACCCAACCTTAAAACCTCAGGAGCCTCATCTGGAAAGTGGAGAAAATAGGAACTGTGACCATATTGGTCTTTTGTGAAGATTCAATAAGATAACAGAGTTTGGCACACAGTAAGTGTGCAATAGATGTCAGCTACATCATCTAAAGACAAAAATATTCCTAAAAAAAACTAAAAATAAAAGTTCCGTGTAATCCAGATATTCCAATTTTGGTTGTTTACCCACCTTCCCCCCAAAAAATCCCATTAATTTGAAGGGCTTTTGGTACCCCCCCATGTTTATTGCAGCATTATTTATGATAAACCAAGAGTTTTAGGTTTGGAAATAACCTAAGTGACTATTAACCAGTGAATAGATTAAGAAGATATGATGTGTATACACAATGTAATACTATACATCTGCAAAAGAAGAAGAAATGTCATTTGCACAAGCCCGGATGGACCTCAAGGGCATTATGCTTAGTGAAATTAAATCAGAAGGAGAAAGACAAACACCATATGATTTCAGTTATATGTGGTACATAGAGAAACCAGACCACCAAATGAACTAAATAAACAAACAAACATTTGGGCTGTATGGCCAATCAGTAGTTACTGGAAAGGAAGGAGGAATAGGGTGTGGGTAAACAGATAAAGGGGGTTAATTGTATTGTGAGGGGTAGATTGGACTTTCAGTGGTAAACTTGATAAGATATATACTGATATTGATTTTTAATGATGCACTACTTATATACAGTGTTATAAAATGTAATGTTACTTCAATGAAACCAAATTACCTCTGTGTTCACCTTGACCAGTGTCATATCTTATCTGCACGGGATTTGCCAAGACCTGCTGTGCCCTCCATTGCATGTGATGTGAAGGTCCCTTAGACATGGCAGCTTCCATTGTGGTCCCAGCCTCTGGTCAGCCAAGAAGAGCTCAGCCAAACAGCTGGAAGGTATCCTGGGTATGCTTGTCACACTGGGACCGGGCCTCAGGGAGAATTGTTTTGGCGATAAAGAGGTTGCTATTTTGACTTTCTCACCGCAAGGATTCACTGATAGCACAGAGTTTTTGTGCTCTCGCACTGCAGATACATTCCAGCTGTTTTCTGTTGGATTGTTCTTCTCCACCCTTAGAAAACCTAGACATTTCTCTTCGGTATATCTTGTCTTCTTAAAGAGGAAAATTTTAAAAAAAAAGACAAGAAAAGGAAAGGTATTTTGACTCTATTGACTTCCACAAATGGACAGGAGATATAACTCACCATTCATTCATTTACATTTTCCATCCTTTTCTCTTCCTTTACCACAAAGTTCTGGAAGATATATGTGCCCAAAGCACCCTGTCAGCCGTGGACTCACCCTCAAGCCATTTCCCTTATGATAGCTCATAAAATACTGCATAATAGTTCCTGTGCAAGCATGAGAAAATACTGAAAATCAAGAAAAAAGGCAACTGGTTCCCCTGATGAATTTGCAGAGATTCTGTTTGGACTGAGCTTTGCTAGAAGAACCACAGAGATCAGTGATACCACAGGTGAGTCATATGGACCTTGCAGGCAGGGATGAGGTAGTGTTTCTTTGGCTGCTGTAGCCTTGAGAATTTCATCTCCCCAATTACCCAATAAGCTAGAGACTTCATAATAAATATATTTGAGATGTCAGGGAATGGTCAAGAAAAATGTCATCTCATGTGTCCTCAGGTTCATTTCCCGCCCAAAGGTCTGTCTCTACAGCATGGGGCCAACACATACCCTCTGTCTGATTCCTGGGTCAGCTAGTGTCTGACTTTTGGGCAATGTCAGGTGCTGGTGGGAGGTTGCAGGGTGAGCTGGGGGTGCAGGAGGAAGGGCACCCACAGAACAGCTCTCCACTTTAAATAGTTTCCTGTAATGTCAATGAGTTAAAAATCAGGCTTTTTAAATGCTTTCCTGCCACAGCCTGTGTCTTACACTCTCCTCCCATGATTATGGATACCTGTGCTGAGAGGTGAGGGATAAAAGGGCAGCATCACTTTGAGGTGAAACAACGAGTCGACTATGAGATGACAGGAGATTGAGAGGGAGAATACCAGAGAGAGATGAGAGAGAGCATGGGGAGATCACGGGGCCTTGGGGGCCTCAGTTGCCCCCTGAGCCTCCTGTGCACCCCCTACCCTCACCCCCCCTCCCCCGGCCCCTGCGCCTTGCCTCCTTACCAGGCCCTGGCCTGTTTGCAATGCACTTCCTCTGCATGACCATTCCCCTCCTGTGGCTCTGTTCCCCGCAACTGGACAGACCACGGCCATCCCACCTATTGCCTGCAGCCCCTGATTCTGACTCCGGAAAGCCCTTACTGCCCTGTATCTCTCTGCTGCTGTTAATCTCAAGGCAGCCTCCGTATTTCCATTTTGGCATCCAATTCCTGTGTCACCTGGGAACTAATTCCCTGCATTGATTTCCCTTTAAAAGGCAGTCATAATAGTTTCCTTGTGAACACTGTTACCAGCAGACAGTTGGGAGGAAATCAAGTATACGTAAATACTTTTCAAACAATAAGCACAGTGAACCTTTTTTTTTGTAGATTACGTTGGAAACGAGTCAATTTGCTTCATGCAAACATTCGGAGGTCATTTGTAATTAGACCTTCGCTGTCTGAACAACGTAGAATTGTTTTAGAAATTGGAAATCAAGGAAAATGTTCTAGAAATGTGATGGGCAACGGTGAAAAGGGATCCCAGCACCCCCTTGACCCCACTTTTTCAGAACTCATAGGTCCTGCTGCTTTGCTCCTTCCCTCTCTTGCTCTCTGTGGAGGAAACGAGCAGGAGCTTGGGCAGATGTGGGCCAAGCACTCTGAAGCTGCTGGAACCTTTTGTTCCCTTGCCTCAAGGCCAGAGTGAGTGAAACAGATTTATTTGTGCCAGGAAAACTATATGTTGTGGTAACCAACTCCCCCTTTTTATTTCTTGGCTCCATCAAGCCCTCAGTCTATTGAAGTCTGAGGTTTTGGTAAAAATGCAAAAACATACTTTTTATTATTCTCTGCAGTTTTTCAGAGGCAACCCCTCATAAATGTTCAATACAGCTTTTATATACAGGATACATAAAGTGCGGTAAATATACACACAGTCATCTGTGCTTTGCTACTCTGAAAAGCATGCTTTAAAAACTAGAATTTCAAAGCAGGCTCATTGAGGACATTTCATTCCACCTGGGACGGGGGTGGTGGGAGACCTGCAGCCTCTCAGGTCTGTATTGACTTTGCGCCCCGGTAGCCACAAGGCAAGAATTCACAGCAAACCAACTTCTCAGTATAGTTCCAATAAAATCAGAAGCATCCAAGCCAGTTATAAAACAAGGCCTTCATTTATAGCAGAAAATGTTACAGAGCGTGATATTCAACTGCTAAAGGAGTCGTCCTGATTCATTTGATAGCAACAGCCTGTGGAATTTTCTGGGCACTTTGGCGTGTGCCCCCAAAGCTTCGCAGTGAACCAAGAACTGACATAGCAGTTGTGTTGATTACCTGTATTTGTTAACAAAAATGACCTATTCCCTGTTTGCTTTTAAAAAGAGATAGCAAGAAGTAGTTCCAAAAAATCATTTATGGGTAAAAAAAAGTAGTTCCTCATACCATAACTTAAGTGGCACAAAATACCATACCATTTGTACAAGGGTTTTTGAGGTTATGCTGCTTAGAATTTTTCAGCCAGCAGGATGCTGGTGCAACGGGATGATTTGTTGAGATATTATTTTTCCTATTTTCCCATTTTCCTACTTTCTAGCAGAAAGGCAGTGGTTTTTGTATTCTCCTGCCCCAAGGGCTGCCTGCCTCTTGCCAGCGGGAGAGAAGGGGAGGGCAGGGGCCAGGGTCGGTGTTCCCCTCTGACTGGTATATCTACAACTGCACATGTTCCTAAAGCGAGGTGAAGATACAATGACAATTTCCATGCCACACTTTTTGGAATCGAAATGCAAATTGCAGCTGATCCGATAAAGCCAGGTCAAAAGAAGCAGAGTAACTTGTTCAAGGTCACATAGATGGTAAGCCATACAGCTGGGATTTGAAATCTTGTTTTAAATAAAAAATGACCATAAAAATACTATTAGCTATGATTGCTACTATTATTATTAGCTCTATAATAATCCTGAGTTCCACCCCTCCGACTCTGTTTTCCACATGCATTCCATGAGCATATTAACACTCCTGAAAAGTTGATATGTGCAGATCAGAATATCATACATATTTAAACATCATCATCATTTAAAATACTCCATCAATCCTATTTTATTTTCTTTTCCTTATTTTCCATAATCAAATAATGCAAACTACTGTAACATTTTCCTAAGTACCATCTAAACCTACCACTTTTTTGCTGTCCTCTCTCCTCCTACCCCAACCCCACTTTTAGCCTCTGCTTTCCCCACAAACAGAATTCCTGGTTAGGAGAGTTGGAGATGGTGAGAGTCCCTCTTACACTGCCCCTGTCATCAACCATCCTGAATTCTTTTAGTCATCGGGAATCATCCCTGCCAGATCTGCGATAATCGTATCTCGAGATCCTTCCCTTCACCACATCTGCAAAGTCCCTAAACCAAAGATCACATTCTAAGATTCCAGTGGATATGACTTTTGTGGGGACACTCTTCAACCCACTAAATATACATGTAAGTGGATATATAAACCCATAAAATGACCAGGAAGAATATGTCTCAAACTGTTTTGTAGTAGTGACTAATGTGCAAAGTTCCTAGACAAGGCAAGGGCAAATAAAGGCAGCTGGCACTTTTTATTCTCCCTACTTTATGAATTTAAAAATAAAAACAAGCACCTAATTTTATTAGGTAACTGAGTTTAGTGCTAGTTTAATAATTTTAATCATTTAAGAACTCTCTTCTTTGTCATAAGCAGAGGCCAAGCAGGTTGTAAACAGAAATACTGCAGTCTTTCTCAGTTACTGCCTGCTCAGAACTACTTAATTAAAACCCAGTTTGGGTGCTGGGCTACTGTTTTGTATTTTTCTCCTTTGTGTGTTTCAGGGGAGAGTAGCACTTTATCTCAGTAACATGAGATAAAGGAACAACCAAGGAACAACCAAGATTGAAATAAAGGAACAACCAAGATTGAAATAAGGGTCAGCTGTCATTTTCAACTGAAGGTCATCCAGTCTTCCTGCTGCCTGACCAGTGCTGCCATTGGGGGCATGCTAGCAGAGAACAGGTGTGGAAATGATTGTTTTTCTTAGGGATTTGTTGATAAGAAAAGAAATCCCTTGTACCTATAAATTAGTACAAGTGCAGGAAAGGTTGTGTTGGTGGCATAGCTGCCTTCCCAGTGCAGGGAAGGCTAGTTCAAAACTAGGGAGTCCTGTGGCCTCATTTGGAATGGGGAAATTTTGAATTGGAAAAGGGACAAATGTGTAATGCCAAGTTTGGGAATTAATAGATATTTTCTTCCATGGTTCATTTCCTGCTTATCTATAGGTTGCAGCACATCCCTCCCCACCTCAAAAGTGACTTCAAGACAGACACGTGCAAGGGGGGTTTTAGATTCAAAGCTATAGGTACAAGGTGATGCTCATAGGCAAATCTATGTTCTGGGGCTTTTGACTTGCTTTCAGTTTTCCATGTGTGGGTGCACAAATGAAGTTGGGTTATTTTAAAATTATTTCCAAAGAGTCTTTTCAAATATTTAAGTTACAGAGTTCAAAGTGCATATACCATTTTAGTTCTGCTAAAATAAACCATACTCATGTGAGCTTGAAAAGATCTAGACTTTTATTTTGATGTTGATTATTTATTAAGAAGTCAAATAGTCATCTATTTAATCAAAGGACATTTGCTTCAAATTGCTTCCATCCATTGTCTTTCCCATGAAAGACTGATTGTGCTTTGAACTAGGCTGTTATTTTTTTTTGTGTGTGGGAGAGATAAAGAAAAATTCTTATAAAAGAACCTACACATCAAAGGATCAGCTCCTTAAAACATTTTCTCGTACATATGTTGGCTACATGCCTACATCTGTTCATAAATTGATATGTAGTCTTTTTATGCACATTTACCATTGCTGAGCCTCTTCCTACCCAATCCTTCCTTTCCTCTCTGCTTTTATAGGAGTCAGACCTGCAGTGTAGTCTGCAGATTCTCCATACCTTCTCCTGTCCCCTTTATCTTTCCCCCAAGAAATCTCCTGCATGCCTAATACATCTTAGTGTCTGTTTCTTGGAGGTCATAAACCAACACATGTGCTCCCAAGTGTGGGGTCTGAGAAAGCTAACAGGAAGACGGGGCTGGGGACTGGCTCACACACTGTCTGGCTGGCACAAAGGACCCTTTCCTGAGTGGAAAGTAGAAGCCATAATGTAGACTCTGGCACAAGGTAGAGTCCAAGTGCTGGAGATTTCCCCAATGGTGGTGTTGGAAAATATCCCACTGGAGAGAAATGCCCTTGTAATTCTGGCATATGAAAGCGATTGGAGAGGAATGCCTGCAAGGAACGGAGCTGCCTTATTATTAATAAGCTATATTAATGTTCTGAGATGGGATAATGAGAAAT